GAGTTGCAACCAGAGTCACGGAACGGATTAAGTTCGTATCCCGAGGTACCACTGTATTTTGTTTTGCTTTGTGGGGAAAGAGGGAATTGTCATATGGATTTCAGACCTCTGCTACAAAGTCTGTTTCTTGACCAAGTTACTTTTGAGTTTGTTTTCTGTGAAATGAGGGTTTGATTCAGAAAGCAAAGATTCTTTAATTTTAAAACCCCTTCCTGCAAGTTAGTTACTGTAAGCTTTATTACTTTGTGGGGGAGAATTAATATTTGGCAAGGAGGAGAGGATAGTTTAGTACTTAAAACTGAAAATCCAGGTGAAGAACTTGCAGCTGCTACTACAGTACCATCTTAATTTTTTTCTAGGCTGGCTCTAAGCCATATTGTAAGCTTGCTGCTGAAAATACAGTGGAGGTGGCTGAAGCTACTTTGCTTGCCACTTTGATTTTCAGTGCTGGGGTTAAAATTGTGTAAGAAAAAAATAAATTTATCAGTAGTAATGATCTATCCAAAATTAGATTGTTTCACTTCTTCTATGTAAGAACAAGAAAAATATATTTGAATATTGGTTTGAATATTTATTTTAAGATAACAAAAAAGTAGCATGGATTTTTCTTTTTCTTTTGCCAAATGTGCAGATGATACTTAATTACTAATTTATGAATATTCTCTTTTTCAGTATTATGAAAATGTATAATACTGACATGTCCAGAATATTTTGGCTAGAACTGGACGTAGATGATTTCCACTGCAAAATGAGTAATATTTCTATCTAGATTTCATTCTTCCTGTAAATTCTGGATTTGTGAAAAGTAAGACATTAACTATTTTTAATTTTTCACAGTATCCAGAATTTACTTAAATTACCCTGTGCATGGATTCATTCATGCTTCTGTAAAAATAAGGAATGAAAACTTTCAAAGGGGAACTTTGGAACAATTGACTTGGGTGGGATTTCTGTGAATGCGGATTTTGATTCTTGTCACAGCTATTCATATTTTATCTATGCCAACCTTCTCTAACCTATTGACTTTCAGAAGTATTAGACATCAGTTCCCATAATCCTTAGCTAGCCCAGCCAGATACCATGAGTCTTGGAATAAAATCCAAATACCTCTGAAAGACACCAAGTGGGTGGAAGCTAATTTGTGCTATGCCCATTCACAAAATTACATGCTGACCTGTTGTATAGCAAATTGCATGTTTGAAGTACCATTACTCATTGTAAACATCTAATATTTCCCCCTTTCCCCATCTGAATACAATACCTAAAAGTAAGGAATAAATACCAAAAAACATTATTTCCATATGACATTTGAATTCTTTCAGGATGTGAATAATCAAACAGATCTTGCTGATGTGTGGCTATCCATTGTTTATAGAAATGCTGCAACTGTCACATTATTCTCCAGTGGAAAGATGGTTAATAAACTTGCTTAAGCTGGCATAGCAATCTTACATTAAGGCATAAGCTAGCTTTGCAGTATTACTATTAGCTGGTTAGATATGCCTTCTCTCACTCATGTTGAATAGGTTCATATTTTAAAAGAGAGGTAAGCAATCTGATACTGTCTAGTTATTTTGGAGTACAACTAACAAGTACTGATCATGCAGGATGGAGCTCATAAGAATTGCTGTCTAAAACGTATTAAAGGAATCAGGTTACTGATTCCTAGTTTAGACCTTAAGAAGAGTAGAAGTGTCCTGCTGTAACATCTAGCACAGCATCCTGTTTCTAACAATAGTAATCAGAGGCATCTCTGAAGCCTATAAATAGGACATGACAGTAATAGCCCTCAGTTGGTACTGTTTCCCAAGAGCTCATATTATATACAGAGTGTCTTTGAAGTTGAAGAGTTGCAGAAAACTATTTCCACTAGTAATCACAATGTAGACCAGTGAAGAATAAAATGCATCATATATCTGTATAAATTATATCTTCTTGTTGTTTAGCAACTTGATCTTTTAGGCCAACAATAGAAAAATGCATACAAGTGACCAAAACTTGATTTGCTTGACTGTTCCATCTGTGTTATTCCCTTCCCCCTATGCCAGAACCATTATTCAATTTGTCAACAGTTCTGTTTGCAAAAGGTTTTTAAAATATGTAAGTAGAATTCTTTCCACATCAGTAAATGAGAACTGTTAAGCATTAAATGTCTTAAAATGTCATATAATGTTCATGTTGTACATGCTTTTGGAAATTGTTGTTTAACAAGAAAATTAATGTATTAATCAAACATTTAAACTACTTTAAGTTGGAAATTAACACGGCTCAAATCTATATTTGCATAATGGAATAAAACTGAATATTGATTTTTAATATGGTTAGGAAAGAGTGGTAAGAGTTCCTTCTTGCTGAGTTACTTTATGATAGTTCATGCAATTATTTTATATTTTGATTTTGAGATGGCAAAATGTTTACCCACTGATCTGTAATAGTCACAGTTAATTAAAATTCTATCCTTGCATATCAACATAAGTTAAAATTTTCATTAGCAATTTGTCATATGAGTGTTGTACTTATCACATAAAACTATGTTCATATGAAGTTGGGTATAAAGAAAGATCAGCAGCTGGGCTAAAAGCATTGACAGGCTGTTCAGACTGGAAATGTTAACAAGACATTTATTTAGGCTATAACTGAACACACCTTTCACCATGGTTAGGCATGAATCCATCAGTTGGCCCTAAGTGTACCTTTTTGCAAAATTGTAACCTTTACCACAGTACAGATGCTAACATTAATGCACAGGTATGTACATATAAGAACCAAGAATGTAAATAACGTATTTTTCCAAAGAAAGGCTACTCTGAATTTAAGACAACCATTTTGTCAAAGAAGAATGGACAGAAATAAATTAGAATTGTAAACAAAACTCCTGTGCATTGCCCAGTGTCTGCACTTTATTAACTTAGGGATATAGCTCCTGTTGGAGTTTCTATCTCCACTCATCAATGTCTCTGTGTGGCACACCTTTGTGTGTGTGTACACACACACACAATCTGCCAGAAGCCACACTTTAAAAATGGGTTGGGCCAGGATTATATATAATCAATAACTACTAATTAAAAATAACTGCCTGTAAAATGAGGTAATTTATATTTTGATCTCCATAAATTAACCATTAACTAAAAGCAAAACAAAAGCCAGGTTGGAGATGGCAAAGGGGGAAAGGTAGCTGTACTGAGAAGGGAAGGGAAGATGGGGAATAAGGGGAAAAGTAACTGAATAAGGAAGGAGAGAGAGAAAAGCCCTTCAGCAGGGAAGTCCATAGGGAACTCTGTTCCTTTCACCTGAATGTAAGAAGACCACCCAATTCAGTATTAATTGTTAATTGTTTATTGCGGGCAAAGACCTAGTTTTCCTAGCAGATCAATAAAGATACTTCAGTGCCCATTGAGGAACTAATAGGTTACTTATAATTGCTATATGTTTGTAGAAAAGGTGTTTTTTTAAAAAAAATATTCTCTACAATTGTTTTTAGCTTTAGACCCAGCTAAAGATCCATGCTTAAAGATGAAATGTAGTCGTCATAAGATATGCATTGCTCGAGATCAACAAACAGCTGTTTGCATTAGCCACCGGAGACTGACACACAGGTAAATATCTCCATGTTATTGATCAATTATATATATTTATATATATTTGTATTCACTGCTGCATTTCTGCATCATTTCAGAGCTGAAGTAAACAAAAATGTGTGAGATTATATACACATTGTGAACATTCTGTGCATGAAAAAATCCTTCATAGACTTATTGAGTAGGTAACTTAGCCTCAGCAGAGCCTTCAATGTGAGCTGAACTTGATAGAATACATATTCTGCTTATTTTCAATGAGGCTTCTGCTGGAATACAGTAGTTTCTGATGGACTATATCCATTACTGTAAGTTTTTTTAAAAAATTGTATTCGTACTAGTACCAAAGAAATTAAACATTGGTTGTAGCACTTTTTGAGAATTTCTACAAAGCATTTTATACACTGAAATTCATTGGAGAATTAATATTTCTGTTCAGAAGGATGAAATCCTGAAAGCAAAACTCCCCCTTAACTTACTATAATGGTATGTGGGAATGACCTTGGGAGATAGGCCAAAGAGACACAGTCAAGGGAATGGTCAGTTAAAAGTAGCAGGAATGTGGGTGGGGCAAGAGGCTCAGAAGAGACTCTCCCTAGTTTTTGGGCTGTAAAGGGGGATTGGGGAGAGAAGTACTTTCAGATTTGCAAGATTCTGTTAATGTAGCTTTACAATAAAGTAGAATGAACTCATCTGTCAGGTGCTTGCTGTCTGGTCTATCTAGTAAGACTGACACATACTGTACTGATATGTACACACAAATGACAGTCCAGTAATTAATGTGGGCTCTGTGCTCTTATGTCTGTCAATAGTATTTGCAGTGGAATGGCTGACCCCATAGTATGAAAGGTTGAAGGTCTCAAGCCTCCTGTTCTCGAAGTCCTGTAGATCCACACACCTTATCTATGTTTCTTATTTTGGGAAAGTTGCTTGGTAGTTACTACTGCTCTCACCTATCTTACAGAGGTACGTCATCTGGTGTCTTCTGCCTAACCTTGATCTGTGTGAGAGATAACCTTTTCACTACCTATGGTGTCTTTTTGGTGATAAAAGGTAAAAATGAAGAAAAATGAAATAATTTCTGTAATACAACCTACTAGCTATGCAGCACAGAGGCTTGTGACTAGAGGTTTCAGACCTTCCTTCCTCCTTTGGGAGAGAAATCAACCTTGTGAGAGATAATCAAAATTAAACTTTAATAAAAATAAAAATATATTAAAATATCTTCCTTTTACATTTAATAATGAAGAAGATAAATTGCATTATTTAGATTTGAGGAAAAACAGCAATTAAAAAAGAAAAGAATGGAACAGATAATGTAATGCTTAGATTACAAGATGCCACTGGTCTACTACAAATCTTTCTACAAGAGACGGGATAGAGAGTATCAAATTAATATAACGGTTCTTTAAAAAAATCTAAAGGAAAAATATATTCTTGCTTGGTTTAAAGAATGCTAATATTTAATTTCATAAGGGTAACTTAGTTTCACACAGGAAAAAAAAAAAGAGCCAGGATTCCTAGCTAAGACTCAGGCAATAAGTCCTTTCCAAGCTCTCCCAGCATCCCCAGGACCATCCAAGCAAGCCAGGCACTTAGCTGTGCACATGGTGGCTACATTGAAAAGGAAGCTGATGTGCCCACCTCCTTTAGAATTTAACAGAAGGAGCTGTCCTCTGAAACACCTATGGGGAGAACACTGGAGCTCCTGGATGACAGCCAAATGATGGCAAAGAGATACCAAAGCCTTTAAACTCTTTAGTGATGCAAATGTTTGCAGCTCGTATATTCTACAGGTAACCTTGAATTGCAGCCAAAGGAAAGGACAGTCCAGATATATTTTCCTACTGCTTATGCTTGTGAGAGACTGAACTATTTCAGTGAGTAACAGGGAAAGTAGTGTAGTTTTAACCTACCACTATTGTAATGTTTTGGGGAATTTTATACACAGGATTTTTCATGTCCCAAAGTAAAATACTCTCCACAGTGAATTACAATGCAAAATTTAAAATTAGTGATGGTCTGTGAGACTAGAAACAGTATGGATATATTCAAATAAAAACCTCTGCATTTTATGCAGCACTTCAGTGTAAAAGCCTGATTGTGGGGAAGGAAATTCAGTTCCAGAGTATCTGCTTTCCATGCAGAAAATCTTGGCATCTTGGAAAAACCTCGGCCTGCAACTGAAGCTTCTGCTTATCATGATCAAAATACCATGGAATTTTATCTCTGTTTTAGACAGAATCACAGATCACATGATCTAGTACAGACACCTTGTAAGAATCACAGTGATGTTATAGTCACGCCTGTTCTTATATGTATATGTATGTGTAATTGACATACTGTAGCGTACGGTACATTTTTTATAGGGTTTTGCTTATTGTTCAGAGATTGCTATATAAACATAAAGATGCTTGTTTGCTGGTCATTGTGATCTAGCTCCTGAATGAATGGATATCAAAGTATGAATCTTGAATCTGCAAATTATACAGTTAAAGGATTTTTTGTGGTGGGGGGGCAGTAGTTAGATGCTAACATTGTACATAAGTGGCTTTATGATTATTTTTATCCCTTTGTTATTTTATTCAATCGTGGTACACCACCCAGAGTTGCTTTGTGTGAGATAGGCAGCTATATCAATCAATCAATCAATAAAAATATATTTCATGCCACCTATCAAATTATGTCAGTACTTTTACTGTCACTGATAGTATCATTTAAGCATTTAGATAGATTGTATTCTCTTGTTTCTGTTTGACAGATTTTCCTTCTGTAATGCAGCTGCTGCCTTTAAAAACAAAAAAGAAAGAAAAACCATCTCTTTTCAAGTTGAGGAACACATTTTCTTGCCAAATTCTGAAGTTTACGCTATCATTGGTGGCTGATAAGCACAGCTCTCAAAATAGATAGCTTTAATTGAGTGCACCTGCATTGCTGAGGAAAGTGTATCATTTTTTTTAAAAAAATGTTTTTTTTTCTTTGCATCATAGAAATTCTAGCCTCTGTTGATAAATTGCATATTGAATAAGACTTAAACACAATTGATTATGAGGAATCATACTTCCTAATAGACACCTGGGCCATCTTGATTTATTTAAAACACCTCAAATCCCCTTCCCAACAGAGAAATGGATGGAAGCCAGAATAGCTTTTCTGCATGTAAAATATAAAACTGGAAGGCTGATATAAGTCACTTAACTAGTACTCTGTAAAGCATTGCTTGTTGTAATAATATAGAGTATAGGGGCTCTTTGGGGAAATGGTACAGACCACTGACAAGGAGAATGGTGTTATTTTCCCTGTGTTTCTATATTATTCCATTATTTTAAAAGAAAGCTTTATCGTATTTACTTATTACTTAACTTCTAAATTAACTCTTATCATTACATCTGTATTAAAGATTTATGTGTCTACTACTGTGTGTATTATGTGCTATACATCCTAAAGAATCCTTTATATAGCTCATTTCTCCTTTAGCATATAAAAATGCTTGCCTGAGCTATAATGGATTCTTGAGCCACCATTTAGACCCCTTGAAGTTAGTTGGCATCTCTTGCTGTGAACTGCTGCTGAAGTGTTGGTTTTGCACAGTCTTTCAGTCTGTGTTGTGATGAGAAATGGAGAAAGGAAGGTGCTTTGCCACCTGCTGGCTGGCTGTAGGCTGTCAGCGCCTGTCAGCCCTTCAAGGTAGACCAGAAGAGGAAACCAAAGTTATGAAAGCTAATACTACTTTTATTATGAGGTTACTGGAACAGAAACTTGCAAGTCTGGATATACTTCTTCCCTCCCTCCCTTTATCTTCATGAGAACTAGGGAGGGTCAATTCTGAGACCCTTTCTCAAACTATATTTCTGCCATGGACTCAAATTTCTTCTATCTGACCATTGTCTTGGTTGTAGCTTTTCCTCCTGTTCTTCAAGGTTATTGCTTCTGTCCATTACAGCATGTCTGCTGGAGTACAATGGCTGCTGGCTCCACTTCCCCTTTTAGCTTTTCCACTGTTGGTTTGTGGGAATCTACACCTGCTTCTTCTTCACTCTTAGCTGCCCACTGCACTGCACTTCATACTGTTGGCTGTTCCCCTCTCTCATCTGTAACTACTTCTCCTGCTTTCCCTCATAAGACCCTTCCCACCCCCCACCCCCTTTCAAGAGCTAATGTGGCCTTCCTTTTGTAATTGGAGCTCCTGGTATGATCCAGTGGTCCTCATGCTGTTTCATGTAATCTGTATAATACATAAATTCGGTTGAATAGGCAAAGTAGGCAACATGGGACCCTTCAGATGTTTTGGTCTGTAACTCCCACAGTTCTTTGCCCATGGCCACACTGGGATCCATAGGGTTAAATCTAATCTGTTTGGAGACCAACAGCTTGCCTATTCCTGAAATAGTGAGAAATGACCGAGGCTGTATTTTTAATAGTGTAGGCAACTTCGTCTTAAGATAAAATTCAGATTATGAGTTGACATATTTGATAGCAAGTCTACTTTAATTTATTTTATTTATACTTTCAAAAGATGACACTTATGTATGATTAAATCAATTTAGCTTTGAATTAACCACTCTATCATTTCAGAAATATATGTCATGCCTTGAACTGCATTTGTCCATGACAGTTCACATGCTAGATACTTGTAAATGCAGACTATGAGATTCTTGTGCAGAGTTGTGTCGTATTTTCATGTCACTCTTGGCAGTGCTACTGGCATATTAGTTTGCATCTGATGAAACATGAGAATTCGTTTGTGGGACATGTCAAAAGTTAAAAGTATTTGGCTGGTTGCATTTTTATTTATTTATTTTTTATTTATTGTGCCTTTGAGTCAGTGTTGATTCCTGGAGACTACCTGGAATTGGAGCTCCTGGTATGATCCAGATTACATCTATATATAGTCCTTGCAGCTTCCTTGGCAAGATTTTCAGAAGTGGTTTGCCATTGCCTTTTTCCTAGGGCTGAGAGAGAGAATGATTGGCTCAAGGTCATCTAGCTGGTTTCATGCCTAAGGCAGGACTAGAATTTAC